CATCGGTGTGTGAGTGTGTATGAATGTGTTAGTTTCTGTTCGATGGGCTTTGCCATCACTGTGTGAAGGTGTGTGAAAGGGTGAATGTGGCATGTAGTGTAAAAGCGCTTTGAGTGGTCGGAAGACTAGAAAGGCGCTATACAAGTACAGGTCCATTTACCATTTCTTTTTAAAGATTATTCTCCTGTTTTTTTTTAACGCAACAAATGAAACACCAAATTCTTCTTCCTACACACACATCAAATGTGCAGAGCTGGGTGTTGCAAAGGAGATGAGCGCTTGGACTTTTTAGAGTTTTCGATAAACACAACATTTAAATATGGTTAGTAGTTGGAAAACTAAATTGATAATTAAAAGAGAAAATGGAGACAAGAAACTAAAAGCCCAGAATATTCCCACCCTGAGATCAATACTTTCCACTGCTTGTGTCTGTAGGCTGCTATGTAGGCTGCTGGAGGAGGAAGAAGGGGGATTTTAGATCACCAGATCACCAGGGAGTTCCCCTCCTCCTCCTTCCTCTCTGTGTACCTGTTGAGGAACTGTTACTCCACTGGAAACTTTCTCACCACACTGAATGAACAGTACAGAGCAAGCAAAAGCAAGTCATGGTATCTTATGTAATACCAAGGCTATAATTATCCACTGTCACAAATAATGATATCACAGGAGTGCGTGAAAATAATGTAAAACCCCTCCACTGCCAGGGGCATCATGTGGGAAATCACCAGGAATCATTTTTTGATTGTAATTTGTTGTGGAAGTTGAAACTGTCTTTGATAATTTTTTTTATAACCACTTAATCAACCTCAAAGTAAAGGAGGGCTTCATCAGAAAGCAATGTCATACATTCAAAATAGACTTTAGATGAACATGTTTCAATGGTTTACTCAACACTATTTTTAGCTACTGTAGCCAGAAAGTCCAAATTTGGACAAACTTGGTAGAGTACATATGTGATGAGTAAGCGTGAGTGAGTGAGTGAGTGAGCGAGCTTCCACCATAAGCTATGATGGTCAAATGCATCGTTTTATGAGTAAATCCAATATAAGCAAGCAGTCAATACAGAATCTAAGACAGTAGTATATAATGTTACATAACATTAACAGAAATAATTACATTGAAAAATGCATTATCAGACACCTTCTTATGGGAGCTCAGCGCCCACATAACTTGATTGAATCCTTCCTTTTACACTACATGCCACATTCACACAGTGATGGCGAAGCCCATTGAACAGAAACAAACGCATTCACACACTGATGCACAGCATTCTGATTAGTGGACGACCCACTCTTCCTCTGAGCTACAGACACCCAGGGAGAGAGAGAGGGAGAGGGAGAGTGATACACTGTTAGCTCAGTGATTAGCTCCTCAATAAAGATCAGCTGCTATTTGAGGTTTTGCAGCTGAAGCTGCAAGACAATTCTGAGATAAGCAAAGATTGGATTTACATTACATGTTGTGTTACATATGGTGACTCTTCCAACCTTTCTTAAAGTAAAATAATAAAAAGCAATAAAATAAAATGCTTATTGATGTCACTTTGACTAGCAAAGACCATGCCACAACAATATTTAGTGGAGTGGAGTTGATGTTAAGGATAGATGAATTGATGTGGATGTGGAGGGGAGAAGAAGACTCAGTCTGTTAGGTTGGTCTGGGAGGACGTGCTGAAGGCTGGGCAAAGGGAGACTCAGTGTGGGGGTTCAATCTCAGGCATGTTGAGGTGAGGTGAATGGATGAAGGGAAGGGAAAGGGAGAGTGGGTCAAGAAACTTTGTTTTTGTGAACCAACCAATTACAGGATGGGGCAGGACCTTAAAAAAACATGGACGTGCTACAGTCAACTTTGCATGAATAGTTATTAGGGACAGAGCCAGCGACCGGCAAGGTCCCTATTGTATTTGGTATGTTTCTTATTATAAGGGATCGAGCATTGACAAGTGCAAGACCCTATTGTAATCCAAGGAATTATTATTATTTTTCTGCGCGTTCGATCGCATATTTGGCCCCCGCAACATGCTCAAAAACTCATGAAACGTGGCACACATGTCAGGCCTGGCGAAAAATTCGATATTCTATGCGTCAATTTTGGGTTGGCCACTAGGTGTGCTATTGTCAAGAAAATTTTCTTAAGCTAATAACTCCCACATCCTTTGTCGCACATTCAAAAAACTTATATCCACGGGTTCGGTGAATGAAGCTGAATCTCTCCATATAAGCCACGCCCATTTCTGCCTAGATTTTTTTTTTCTAGAGCGAAATGTCCATAAACTACTTTTTTGTGTTACTCCTACACGCTTTGCCGATTCGCACAAAATTTTTCAAAAATCCTGTTTGTCGTGTTTGTAGCGATACCGATATGTACGAAACTCGGTGGGCACGTTTAAAATGCCGGGACGCACAAAAAAGCCTCTTGGACCCATACCCCAAATCCCACAGGAAGTCGGCCATTTTGATTTAAAATTTCAATTTCAGCAAACTTTTCGCGTTGTATTTGAACGAACTCCTCCTAGGGAATTCATCGGATATGCTTCAGAATTTGTGAGTACAGTCAAAAAATGGTGCTGATTAAACGTTGTGCTATTTGTGCATGTATGTTGAAGGGCGTGTCCGTGGCGTGCCCTCAAAGTTGGCCATAGTGAATTCCGTGCTCATTTTCAGTGAATTTTTCGCGTTGTATTTGAACAAACTCCTCCTAGGGAATTAATCGGATCTACTTCAAAATTGGTCAGTACAGTCAAAAAATGGTGCTGATTTAAGGTTGTGCTATTTGTGCATGTACGTTAAAGGGCGTGTCTGTGGCGTGGCATCAAAGTCAGCCATTTAGATTGTTTTGATCGTTTTCTGTGATTTTTCGCGTTGTATTTGAACAAACTCCTCCTACGGAATTTATCGAATCTACTTCAAAATTAGTCAGTACACTCAAAAAACGGTGCTGATTAAAAGTTGTGCTATTTGAGACTCTACATTAAAGGGCGTGTCCGTGGCGTGCCCTCAAAGTTGGCCAGGTTGAATAGAATGTCAAACTGTGATGCTTTTTCCGGCATTTAAGGGCTTCTGTTTTAACTAACTCCTCCTACAGATTTTATCAGATTGACTTCAAATTCGATCACTTCAATCTACACACATTGGTTATCAAAAGTTGTGCTATTTCTGACTGTATGTTTAACCGTGTGCCCGTGACGACGTGTCAAATTCCACCAATTGGCCATCAAACAGATAATACTCATATCTTCAATGTACAGTCCCACCCTGAACACGTCCTCATAACTTCAGCGTACATGATCCAATCTCAATGAAACTTCACGTGTTTGATAACAGTCCCACCCTGAACACGTCTACATGACAATATTCAGACATAGTGATAGCGCCACATACTGGTAACAGGAAGTATCACGTTTTATATTTTCATGTTCTACTCCTCGCAGGATGATCAGATCCAGCTGAAATTTACTTATAAAATGCAAAACACATTGTTGATGATATGTGTTGACTGTGGTGAGGGGGCGTGTCTGTGGGGTGGTGGGAAATTTTGATAGACCGCCACAAAACACGAATTCGCTATTACTTGAGTGTACATTGTCCAATCGGCTCCACACTTCAAATGCTTGATAACAGTCCCCCCCGAACACGTGTACATGACAATACTCAGACATAGTGATAGCGCCACCTACTGGCAATAGGAAGTAAGCGCTGCGTGGCGATTTTGAGCTGATTTACGTGAAATTTCATGTTTTGGTCCGCACGTGTAACAATGGCACGCGACGCAGCCACAGCACACCCCGAGTTCCCGATTTGTCGAATTCAGTGGATTCACCATAAAACAGCACTCATAACTTCAGTGTGCAATGTCCAATCTCCAGTAAACTTCATATATTCTGTAACAGTCTCGCCCTGAACACGTCCTCATAACTTCAGCGTACGTGGTCCAATCTCAATGAAACTTCACGTGTGTTATAACAGTCCCGCCCTGAACTTGTCTACATGACAATATTAAGACATAATGATAGCGCCACCTACTGGCAACAGGAAGTAAGTGCTGCATGCCGATTTTGAGCTGGTTTACGTGAAATTTCATGTTTTGGTCCGCACGTGTAACGATGGCACGCGACGCAGCCACAGCACACCCCGAGTTGCGTGGAGTGCGAGGTCCCACCCAACCCTGCTTGCAGCTTTAATTATTATTTTCATTTTAGTACTAATAACCACAACTGTAGACTGTTCGGTGGGCCAGTTTGAGTCAAAATGTCCAGGGACATTTTTCATTCCTATTCTGTCACTGCTTATAAATGCCACTGACTATGCCAATATGCCATCAACTTACCAGGAACTGCAGATGCAAATTAGCTTCATGCACTCAAGGACGAGTGTGTAGGATTTAGTGCCATTTAATGAAGTTGATTGCAACTAACTGAACACTAGTCGCATCTGCATTTGATGACATGGGAATGAGAACAGGCTGTAAAGTGTGTAGGAAAAACTACAGTGGCTGCAAAACTTGTGAAAAATGTTACAATGGCAGTGTTTGGTTTGTCCCTTCTGGGCTACTGTAGAAACATGACAGTTCAACATGGCAGACTCTATGGAGAGCAACTTTATCTGTAGAGAGGAGGGCATCTGTAAAAATGGCTCATTCTCAAGTAACAGTATAACGTTTCTTAATTTCTGGTGATACTGATATACACTGATATAATTGAATTCTTGCCAATAGATCCTCCTAAATGTTACATAGTGGACCTTTAAAGCTGCATTAGGTAATTTTTATAAAAATAAAGTTTTGTCATAATTGCTGAAGTGATGTTCAAACTGATAGTGCAGTTCATGTTTTATATGTTATAAGGAAGCATGTCACATTCTTTTTCACAGTGCACAGTAAGAGGTCATACATCTATGTGACATGTGGCAACTTCCTCCCAACCAGCATCAGTGCTTTCTTTAACATGTTATTTTTGTTGTTGTTTTTACATTCTTTCATTCCACATGCTCCAATAGACAGAATCTTTTCAAATGGATGTTTTATTCAAACAGTTTTACAGTGCCAAAGGCACTAAAATCAATTTTAAAAAATCACATTGACAAACAGTTCATCAAAGAATCAATAAATAATTTCATAAATTATGCATAAATCCAATATTTATGGCTTTCATTAGAAAAAACACATGGAAACATACACATACAAATAAATAATTCAATAAATAAAATAAATATGATCATGTTATGTTGAATAAATACATTCTCTAAAATCCACTTCTGTCTGCCTGTAGTGACACAATAAATATGCAGCAATATTATTCGTACAAATGTCAAAGACAGTAGAGATTTAGCATCGCAGTACAGCAAAAGGTATTGACATTAAGATGGCAGTACATAGTACATAACATTATAGAACCATAGCCTTATCTATGGTAATACATTGCTTCATAACTTTTGTTCTCTGCTGTAGTTAACATAACTACAGCAAACTTTAAATGACTTTACTATTACTACTGAAGCCACATAAAGTTTGGGTGTCAGTTTGTAAAGTCTAAACTAAACGTTGCATTGACTGTTCAGTGCAGTGTCAACCCTCTGTGGGCACTTAACATTCGTCAGTGTGTGTGAGTTCAGGTGGGGGCAGTGGGCTGCAGTCTTCACAGTGGAGCCACCATGTAGCCTGCTTTTCTTCTTGTACATTCATTCATATCTTTAACTGTTGCCCTTAACCATAACCCTAACCCTAACCCATCTCACAAGGCAAACACACCAAAGAAAGTCTTCCCTGGCTCGTCCTCCAGGTATGGCAACATCTTCTCCTCCATCACTGTCTGCAGTCTGTCCCCTCTGCTCAGGTTGAACACAGCCCCCATATACACAGCGGAGAACCAGCTCCCCTCCTGATCTGGATCGCTGCTGGCTGTCTTTTGGCAGGCAGTGCGGACAGAGTGCAGGATGGTCTCGTAGGTCTTCCTTTCGTCATCATTACCATATGAGCGGGACCAACGCTTCACAGTGTGGCTCAGATGGACCATGGGCCTTGAGGTGGCGTCATCAGCGTCGGTGGTGCAGCTGACCCGGAAAGATGCTTGGCTGTAAACGAAGTAGAGGCCGTTTTGAGGAATCACAATTTCATTATTGTCAAGTACCAGCCCTCCTTGAGAGTGGGACTGGTCCACCTGATTCTTCCATTCCACTGAGGTCCTCATGTCAGGGTTGTATTCTCCTGTTGAAGAGCACAAAGAGATGGTAATGGAGATGATTCCAAATTTCTGATAGAGTCAAATATGAACTGACTAGGCAAAGGTTTGAAACATTTTTCAACAAGGACAGGGAGGATTCCAAGGAATGTTACTGTTCATCAGAAATTCAAAGTTATCTTAAAAGTGGCTCGGTAATACATTTATGATTTCCATTACAGTGAAATAAGACCATTTTTTATGTTGCTGTCGAGCCATACTACATCCTTAGATTTACCTAGGACTGCTTCATAGTACCCACCTAAGGGACTAGGATTGCCTTAATTTGTCCTAAAATATTCAAAACAGTCCCTAGAATTTCTTCGAGAACAGCATGAACATCCTCAAGAAGCTATAGAAGGTCCATAAGACCCCAAATAATAAGACACCCAAAAACATGGAGCTCAATAAGCTTGGTCTCAGAACCACCTGGCTAAGAAAACCAAACATAAGCAGTAGCAGTCGGTATAAAACTGTTTTCTCACATTGTGCTTGTTATATGTTTCAAACAAACAGCCCCAAGTATTCTTTGATGCTGAATATTCCTTACCTTGTAGATGAATGGCTGCTCTTACATGTGAAATTTGCCTCAGTGTGTGACTGAAATTGTCTCCATCTTTTCCTGGGCCCTGTTTCAAGAAGAGGAAAATAAAGAGAAGGTTACGGAATGGCTGGGTTCAGGTGAGCTAGGCCACTCGTGAGAAACATCGGGCACTTAAATAATTCAGAGACTAATCTAAGATATGTCCCCCACCTTGGCGTGCCTGTTACAGATGAGGACAGCAGCAGCAGTAGCAGCGAGGCAGAGTGTGAACACCAGCAGGGAAGTGGTTAGCTTTGAGTTGGGTTTGACACTCTGTGTTGTCCTGGCTTCTGTGTCGGCAGTGACGTCCAGCTGTACCTTGCATTCACCCTCCATTGTTTTGAATTAGTTATTTTTATCTCTTCAAGTCAAGCCTTCTGTCTGCTTCTGGTGCCGCTCTGGTTTGTTGACTGACACTCAGTGACACTCTTTTAAAAAGCAGTTGGAGGGAAACTCCAGTGATGTCACTGACATTGAGAGTGAGATTTAAAGAAGCTAGAGCCTGGAACGATACTCCTACACATATGACTGCGTTATCCCAACACCTGTGTAGAAACCCATTTTACAACTCAGTGCATACACACACCCACAACCCTGGATACTCACAAAACACACCTAGTGTAGCATTTAAAGTAAAACTACACATTTTAGCCAATCACATCAAATGTTTACTTATGTTGTGGTGTAGGCTTACTCCTCTATGTAGGTCAAATATGGAAACCGGGTTAAAGTGCGGGGTAACAAGCCACAAACACACATCATTTAGTTATTCATCAAGACATCTGCCAGCATTGACCAACACTTGCCACACTATCACTATGATATTCCACTATGTGATATGGCTTAAAGTAAAAAAATGAACTGCATCTGACTGTCATTGTTGACAGCTGCCCTTCATTGTTTCACTTCCCTTTTGTTTAAAGACAGACAGATTGGTTAGCTCGGTTGGTAGAGATGGCGTCCCATGTACTGAGGCTGAGTCCTTGCTGCAGCAGCCTAGGGTTCAAATCTGACCTGCAGCCCTTTGCTGCGTGTCATCACCTCTCACTGCCCCCCTTTCCTGTCTATCTGCAACTGTCACTATCAAGTAAAGGCAATAAAAAGCCCCACAAAAATTAAAAATAAAAATAGACAGATTGTCACAGCTGGTATTGAAATGTAATCCATTACTAAATATAGGTACTATTTTTTGTAATTAGTAATGTAATCCATTGTATTATAAAACAAATTATCTAATCTGAACAAATTTGGATTATTTCAAAATCAAACATACATTAAAATATTCCACATTATACTAATGAAAAGGACGTAACCACAACATTTTTTTTACAAATATTCCCTCTTTAAATATCTGAAAACATTTTTAGTGCAAATAAAATTAACTGAACCTTCTACATTGGCTCAACACTGACCCTTCACTCTCTGATAAATAGCCTCATCCTGCCTTAGAACAAAGAGAAGGAAACACTGAATAAAAAAAAGCCTATTACTTGTTAAATAATAAACATAATATAAACAGAGGATTGTATAAAAATTTTCACAAAATATCAGTTAATGTCATAAGGAGTTCGGTCTAGACCTGCTCTATTTGGAAAGTGTCCTGAGATAACTTCTGTTATGAATTGGCACTATACAAATAAAATTTAATTGAACTGAATTAAATTGAATCAGCAAAACTCATCTCTGATCCAATATTCACAGGAAATAATAATGCACTGCAACCATGAGAGGCCATTGACCCTACAGTCATAAATGTGTACAAAAAACATTAGTAATATGCAAGATTAGCTGTGGACAGATACACACACAGACACATGCACACACAATTCAATTTTATTTGTATACCGCCAATTCATAACAAAAGTTATCTCAGGACACTTTTCAAATAGAGTAGGTCTATGTTATAAGGAGTATGATTCCTTATAAAATGATTTACACAGGACCAACAGTTCCCACCATGAGCAAGCACTTGGCAGTGGTCTTGTCAGGATATAGTGAAAGTTTCAGCAAATATTAAAAATAAAAATAAAAATTATATAAGTTACCTACTGCAGCTTTAATTCTCATAATGTATCATCATGCATTTAACTGGGATCAAGGTATTTGGGGAAAATAGAAATACAATAAACAAGTACAATGTAAACAGGATACTTTTTTTTCTTTATACGTAATATATGCCCAAAAACTGGTTCAGGTCTTTTTATCTGACACTAAACAATTTATCATAACCATTCAGGTTAAGATGGTATCTATGACATCACAGAGAAACTGTAACAACGTAAGAGTGTCGATGTTAGCCAGATATTGACTCAGATCAATGAAGATCAATACTACATTTGTTGCCAAAAATTGCAGGAAAAAAGATCAGAAGTTCATTTAAGAGCGAGTTTACCGTACTGTGGGTATATAAGCTGGTCTTTTTTATTGTCAGTGGCAACCTGCAGCCTGGAATGGAAGAAAAATCCTACTACATTTTCTACCATAATAGTAAACTGCAAAAAGAAATAAACACAATTTATCTTTCAGATAATAATATATAAAGAAAATACTCAAACCACAGTGCTGGCACTTCAAAATGTCTCTTCAGACTAGCTGTGTGTTGTAGAGAGAGCAAAACCAACACACACAAAAACATCCTGCTATATCACTTCAGTTAGGATTGACCTCTTCTCCCTGAAAACACACCCAGAGGATATGGAATCAAATGTTTTTGCTTTCAACTGATAGTTGCCTGATGGCAGTAATCCCAGATCTGGATCACCACCAAAGTCTAATCAGTAGCTCGCTGGCCTCAGGCCTATCTGCCACCATATTTCATAGAAAGCTGCTCAGATGGTTCTTCTATCCCATAACAAGACTGCAAACCAAACCTTCTTAGTAATAATGTAGGAGAAAAGATGAGGATTTAATCCCATTTTTATTTTTATATGTAACATCTTGTGAAAACAGGATTGTGCAAAATAGCAGCAGTTGTCAAATTAAGGAGGCTCTGTGGTTGTATCAGAAATCTCATATCAACAATGTGACTCCGTCATGGCTCAGACCTTCCATTTGTTTTTGTAACTGCATTTCATGTCTATAGGGAGAGTGTCTAAAATATATTCTGGGTGGAGTATCACCTTAAGTGCGAAATGAGATGACTGATGGCATACCAGATACGATGAGCTTGTATATTCAACTTAACTGGTGTTATGGTCAGTGCTACATAACTTAGCTTTTAATTTCGGTTGGCTATGAAAACAGCAACTTCACTAAAAAGAGGTCAGAGGTTGAGTCTCTAAGGGGTAAATGTTAAATGAACTGTACTTGTATAGAACAGTACGCCTTTCACGACATGCCACATTCACACAGAAACACACAGAAAGTAATTTATCCACATTCACAGAATGCACAGTATCTGAGCAATTTGAGGTTCAGTATCTTGTTCAAGACACTTTGACACGCAGTGGAAGGAGCCGGCGATCAAACCGCCAACCTTTTGATTCGTGGACGAGCTGCTCTACCTCCTGAACCACAGCCGCCGGATAGCAGAAGTATATGCTGATTTAATCACAAACAATCCCGGATATCAATATTTGTTTGGAATTTGGCATTCCAACTGTGGTGGCCAGGCATTTTTTTAGGGGTACCCCTCTTGATCTGCCCCTGCTGAAACTATATAAACGAGGTACACATAACCTTAATACATTTATTTTCATCTAACAACCACAAATTCATTTGATACACTGCAAATCTGGGGTTAGCATTCCAGCATAGTAGTTCTGGTTATGGTCTATAGGACAGGCAAAATATAATGTAGTGGGAGGAACAGGGGGTCTGCAGTGCCCCAGTGAAGGGGTTAGCTTGGCCAATATACCAATTTGTGGCCATGGTCAAACTTCTGCAGCAGAAGTATTGCTGAAATTCCTAATTAGGTCATAGAGTGAGTAGTGACATTGGAATTTTTTACAATCAGCAGCATTTAAACAGCTGATAAGTTACCATGTGGTCACTACCCACTCACGCTATCGTCTACTAGATACATTCTCTACAGTGGAAATGGGGGAGTGTTAACAACAAGAAAGCAAGCTGATTACAAGAAAGCTAGCTGATTACAATAGATTACAATATATATATAATATGCATTAGTGTGAGTGTCAGAGTTCTCTGAAAGCAGGACATTATGCTAACAAACCTATAAAATGGCCACTGAAGGTTGTGTTATGGCACCGGAGGGCCAATCACTGTTATTTCCAAAAGGTAAAAAATTCAATCAAGCAAAATGAAATGAGATGACTTCGAGTTGAGTTAATGCATAATTGTTCTGTTTTAGTGCAATAATCTCACCTCATTTTATACTGAAATAACTGGATTCTCTCACATCTGAAGGCAAAGTAGCTTCACATTTAACTAGTCTCTGGTTCACCACTTTTCCTTCCTTGGACCACTTTTGATAGGTACTGACCCCTGCAGACCGGGAACACCCATCAAGAGCTGCAGTTTGGAGATGCTCTGATCCAGTCGTCTAGCCATCACAATGTTGACCTGGTCAAAGTCTCTCAGATCCTCACGCTGCCCATTTTTCCTGCTTCTAAGACATCAACTCTGAGGACAAAATGTTCACTTGCTGCCTTATATATCCCACCCACTGACAGGTGCCATGATAACCAGATAATCAGTGTTATTCACTTCACCTGTCAGTGCTCAGAATGTTATCTGGGTGATACATGAGTTATCATAATTTATATTCACAGACTACACATCCCAAAAAGCAAACTAGCTACAATGTATTTATATTATACCATATTTCCACTGTGCTCTGACAGTAGTACATGAAACAAATAATGTGACCCTTTAATGTGAAGGGTTCTCGGCTGCTCTGGCTCGTTCTATCGCTCCTAATGGCATTTGCAAAAACCCAGCAAGCCCAAATAAAAACAGCCTATCAGAGCTCAGATAGATAGATATATAAAAATGACCTACTGCAGCTTCCATGAGTAAATTGTCTAATGGCAGTGGCACCAATAGAATACATAGGAAAACTATTTAAACATGAAGAGTGAACAAAATGGGTATTTTTTAACATTTACTGAACATATATGTATGACATAAATACAGGGGAAATATATAGTTTTGATCAGAAACACTTTAATATCATTGTGAAGTATTACTTGACATCTCATTCAGTGAGAATGACTAACCAGGCTTTTCCAGTGAGGGTGACTTCAGTAGGAGGGGAGTATACCTGACAACAAGAAGACAGGAAGACAGGAAGAAACTGCCCCGTGAGGTCTACAGCCCAGTTTTACATATATTTACAACACTTTTGCATCTCATTTTACATTAGAAAATAATTCTTGAGAAAAACTCCCCTCATGTCATGGTACATCACCCTTCTTTCAACATTTCTTTTCTGTTTCTAAATCTGTAACCAGTAGCACACATCCTTCATCTTAAAAAAGACTTGATACTCTCCCCAGAGCCACAGACGAATACACAGTCATTTTTGTAGATTGGCCTACTACTCAGCTTCCTCATTACAAACAGAGGGCATATATAGACATCCGCCACACACACCTTAAAAATATGGGGGGAAAAGTCTGTGCTTCCCAGAAAAGATGATAATAAAAATATATAAAATCACACAATATATGTGGTTGCTTACACATAATTACATCTTGATAACCTTAATGTGATGTAGTTCCTCATAAATCACAAAATAAAGATAAGCATATCAATAGCATAACATAACATAGGGAGATTTCCTTCAAAACTATAAATCATTTGAATTTCCATTTGGGAGAGTGGCCAGATTCCATGAAGTAGCTTCTTACTGTGCATGTGTACAGTTCCAGTCCCAGTTCCTGTCCTGGAGCCAGGCCTGAATAAGGAGCTCACAGGTGCAACATGTTCTGCACCTTATGGGGCCCAGTCAGAGTTGAAAAACTACCTTGGGTTTGCCACTATGTGAGCTCACTCCCTTCAAGAATGGATGTCATATGTTGCTAGCCACCACCAGGCAGGCAAAGGCAGAGGCCTTTGCATGCTGACCTCTTGCTGCAGAAACTTGCTGACATGCAATGGAATCTCTCTCTGAGGAAGGATGGAAAACAAACTCCTAGATACGGGCAGAAGTTTTTTTTCTGTTATTGGACAGATGTGCTAGTCATGGACTGTCCAACATGTTCAAATATAAGGTCGTTTATAAAGGTCCTTAACGCCTGAACACCTTATGCCAAATTTCAGTGATCAACTTTGTTTCA